GAAATCTGCCTATGAATTAAGACTCTTGAACCTTCTGGGATAAACAGGCATGACAAAATTTAACATATTTATATTTTTTAATGTATCCACTTTAGTATATGTTTCCTTTTTCTCTATTTTTATCAACCAATCATGTCACATATTAACTTTAGTATCATTTCCTTTCCCCTTGGGGCAGATCATCGGTGCCACGCCCAAGATGCATGCAACCGGGCTGCTAGGTCAGCGATAGTTTTTTAAAGAAAATTCAAAATGGGGGAGGAAGACATTCACACTCAACTGACTTGGGTGTTTGAGGTAAAGAATTTTTACAAGATTAGTATTAATTGTTGCATGATCTTTACTCGTACACTTTTTGGATTTGATTGGGGACAAAGTTATTTAGCAACATTGGTTACACCGCAAAATTGTATAAAAATGCTTAGAGGTACATTTTTTGCATATTTTTGCATCAAATCAAATGAAGGAAGAGAGCAACAAAAAAATTTTTGTTTTTTTGAGCAATTTTTGTTACAAAAGCAACTTTTGACTATTTTAACAACTTTTTTAAAAATTGCGGGCAACTTTTTGAGAAATCTCGAGCAACTTGTGGAAAGCCCTAGCTTTTCTCATTTGCATTATAGTGTAATCAAAAGCCAGGTGCTGAAATTACAATTGTCCAAAATTTGCCTTTACATAATATTGGATTATTTAATTATTAACAACATCCAAATAAATAACTGTGGAGCTCCACTTTTAGGATTGGTTAAATCTATATATTATATACCTTATGATCTTGAGCATTCTGCAGTTTGTCTTTGACATCCAATTCCTTAGTGTTGGCTCCTTTCCTTTCACTCATGCTACATATATCAGGACATATTCATCTTTAGTTAGCTTTTCTGCCATTGCCTGCAAAAGTGAAATGTCACATCTTAACCCTATGTGCTCCAGGCAACTGAACCGCACCCACAATTAAATAAATCAAGACAAACCAGTCAACCCCCTAGCCTCCAAGGTTTGAAATAATTTTCTGACTGGCACCAATTATTAGTTGGGCAGTCGAATCTATTTTTGCTCGGTCAAGAAACAATTTTGGCCGGACAAATGGTTGAATATCAAGCAAGTGCATTTAGTGAGCTTTCACTGTAGAGGTAACTCATATTCAGTGCAAAAAGTACAGAATTACACAGCACTGATCCACAATGTTCAATAAAATTGATATCATTACACTTTTACGTCCCACTATCACTTCCTATCGCTACTTAACTATTCAATTTTTATTCAAGCTTAAGTGATTCACACAAACTAAGTTGTCATTGTTAATTTCACCTTAATCTAGTAAAGGCCTTAAGTTTTACGATACCACGTCAAGAGCCGTCTGTTTCACTTTCCACATTAGACTGCAACATTACAATATGGATTAAAGTCAAACCTCCCCACAACGATCACCTCAGGGACGGTCAAGGAAAGTTGCCGTTGTAGAGAGGTGGCCATCATGTGGAGGTAGGGGTGTAAGATGACACCTTTTTTTTTCAGGGTTGCAACAATTTTGGTCTTTAAAAATACTTGATTTAGCATATAAATACATAACACTATCAAAATATATCTATAAAACAGAAACTAAACAGAAGCAGAGACTAAAGACACCCTAAAAAATGAGGTTTTGTCAGTCGTTGAACTGGCCGTTGATGAAAGGTTATTTTTGGCAGTTGGGACAGGCTTTAAAGGGCATTACCATTGTGGAGAGGTGGTCATTGTAGAGAGGGTAAAATCAGACTGAATGTATGGACTGTCTGCCAGGATAAAATAGTTGCAATGGCTGTGTAGTGAGGTAGTCGTTAATAAAAATTTTATTGCATTAGCATACACACCGATAGACACGCTACTCTGGAAGACCCATCTTTCGTTTGCTTTCTTTTTCTTGCAAACACGATTAATGTACAACTTAATGAAGAACAAGCTCTGAATCAAATTTTCCTTTGAAGTGTAATCAACCACACAAAATGTCTGGTCATCCAACCATTTGATCACAAAAAACCAATTTTTGACTGGACAATGTCCGTTGACTGACCGTTATTTCAAGCCCTGCCCCTCATCCAAAAAAGTGAACACGAAAAAATCACACTGAGAAATTAGAAGGAGCAGAATGCAGAAGTGTTTGAGTGCCAATGACACTTGAGAGAAAGTACCCTGTGATTAAAATTTTTCAGAACTCGTGTAGGTTGTCCTAATTGACTTCTGACGACAGTTTGTCTTTACCTAAACTTTGTTCCCTTTTCTCTCTGTTGAGTATGAAAGCAGACCTTATTTCATGTGGCACTGAGTATTCTATGTTTATATGCGCAACCACAATAGAAAATCAAAGCAAGTCTCTTACAGCTGTTAATGCCGTTAGTTGTCCCCGCTGTCATCATCATTGATGTCGTCGTTGTTATCATCACCATTATCATATTTGAGACAGGCTCCTTTTGAACTGTACTGACTAAAAACTGAATTTCATAGAGGGGGAGGGGTGATATAAATGGAAAGTAAAAGAATGTCTTGACAGGCCTTAATTGTGACCTCAAGTTCACTTCAAATTTTAATACAGTGAAACCTGTATTAAGCGGACCCCATATTAAGCGGACACCCTCTGTTAAGTGGCCACTAGCTGAATTCCCAAATTTTTTTCCCCACATGTACTGTAAAATAAACCTGCATTCAATGGACACCTCTCTTAACTGGACGCAAGCACCAATATTAAGCCAGTTTGTTGCACAAAACCTGCAATAAGCAGACACTTCAAGGGCTTTTTACTACTTAAGGTTTAGCTGTGACTCCTTTAACATTGTTCAGCAATGTCATTATAAAGTTAAGTGATTATTCCAGATTGATGCATTGATTGACTGGACATTGTACTATGAGCAGTCTTAGCTGGTCTTTGATCTTACACTGTGTTACCCTGTGTTACAAAAGAGTTAATAATTAACTATTATTGCACAACATATTTGAAACTGTTTTGAGCGGACACCCTGTTTTAAGCAGACACTTGTGAGGGTCCCAAGGGTGTCCGCTTAACACAAGTTTCACTGTATCATTAAAGCTGAATGTACTTTTGATGTAATATATCTCAAAGCCGTTGTAATGAATTGTCTCTAACCTGATTCAATTTTCATTGCAGTATAGTATTCGTATTTAATTTATTCACCTTTTATTTAACATTTATATCTATGGGCATTCATAGGCGTATGAGCTGGGGGGTGAGGGACAAGGGGGCTGCAGTCTCCCCAGCTACAGAAATTGTTTAATTTTTCAGGCAAAACCTTCATGATTTGGGCAACCACACTTGAGAGACGCATTACAAAATAATGCTGTTGGCAAGATTTCCAAATCTCATAAAAATGTTTCTACTTTTTATGAATCTCTGTGTGATTGGACGCCCGCCGAGGAGTAGGTAGGCTCTCAAGTGGTTGCTTCAGAGAGTTGGCACTTTAAATAGTGTCGTGTGAAGTGTGTCATTTGTATCTGCTGCTGATCTGAAGTATTGTTGGCACACCGAAGACGCCAAGGTAGTATGCGGGACCCGAACTTTTAGGCTCCCGACAAAGAATAAGCCCTCTTTTTTTGGTTTTTTAAGTTTCAAGGCTTGTAAGCTACTTTCTCTGAAATTTGCATTGCCAAAAAGGACTAAATTATATGAGTGACATGGGGTTTTCTGTTAGCTACAACACGCATCAATGCAAACGAAGACCAAGACTTTTGTTTTTGTGGTGGCTCTGAAAAGAGCCAGGGAGGCGCGGTGGCCTCATGGTTAGAACTCTCGTCTCCGGGTCGAGCGGTCCGTGTACGAGCCCTAGCCTTATGTTCTAGCGAAAGACACTTTACTCTCATAATGCCTCTCTCCACCCAATTAAGTGTTTAAATGGGTACCGGCAAACTTAATGCTGGGGGTAACCCTGCGATGGACTAGCATACCATCCAGAGGGGAGTAGAAATACTCCTAGTCGGTTCATGCCGCAGAAACCGGGATAAGCTCCGGCCTGATGGGTCACTAGGCTCGTATGCAGAATTTGCTTTTTCTTAAAAGAGCCGTTTGTAACACCTAAACAAAGGGGTGTTATAATTTTTTTTTTCACTAATTTTTCTCAGGAGGTGTTCCTATATTACGTCCATATTGTTTAAAATCGTATTTGCGTGGCTTTTGAATTTATAAAAGGCTTGCAGTGTACGCTGCAAGTCTGCTGTGGCCAAAACAAGATTTTTTCGAATGACGTCAAGCAATGCCTCGTGTTGTTCTTTGAACGGCCTCGAGTATATCGAGAAGGTCGCCTCGAATAGAGTCCAGCTTCTGTAACACGTCCAAATACGGTCCATCTTGAAACAGATGTCTCGGTATATATTGAGCGCGCCTGTGGCATTAAAGTCATTTTGATCAGTGTCACTGTGTGAACAAGATAAATAACATTTTCAGATAATGCCTTGGAAGAAGGAACTTTTTCAGTTTAATAAGTTTTAGATTTTACTATATTGAGACTGCTGATAGAGGTCATTGAGTATGCAAGCTTTCAGTTTAACCTTTTTTTGAATTATAGAAGTTTCATTCGATGTCAGAATTATAATTATATAATTACGTTTATGTTTTTCATGGCATTTGCGTGCGTTTGCATCCCGATTTCAACACGCGCGCATTCGAGCATTACGTACTTTTTTCGGGCAAGTAGGTCACCGCCCAGCTCTCCCCCCGCCCTCCTCCCCCTGGTCCGAAGGTGCCCGCACGCCTATGTGTATCGTTCTCCTAACTTTTCCTCGAGAAGCGAATGTCCAAACAGTTAAGAAAAAAACCCTGTGGAATTTAAATTTCTGTAACTGCTTGTCTCTGCATAGTGCTAGGCTGATTAGTCTGAGAGAAGAATAAATCAATGTTCATGAAAAAGTGAAAAAAGGAAAATGATTGCATAAATTGTAACCTTGGTCATTCCATGAGTGAACTCTCCTTCTTATGAATTCCTTTGGTGCATTACTTAAATAATTGATCTTTTATTTCGGTGTCTGTTTTTTTCACAATCAAGGTGGCAGCCTTAAAAGCACAGTTAGCTACAGCCGGGAAACCATCTGGTTTCGCTTTGCTCGACAGCAATGGCCGCTTGTCCCAGAGTCTCCTTGTGGCGGGTTATGACAAGTACTCTTTGTACGACTTGGGCTGGCAGTCTCTTCACATGGCAGCCTCTGCTGCCTGTAGAGGAAGCACTAGTTCAGGGGGTAGTGGCTGCTGTGAAAACGTTGTCCTTGTGCGTAACACGGCTGATAAGAAGACCTGCTCTCAGATCTGTGCCCAGTCTCCGTTTTCCAACTGTGATGGAGAAGTTTCCATCCACGGAAAAACAGGAAAAGCCACTCAAAACGGAGAGAAGATTGGCGCGTTCTACAACTATGAATGCGGTCACGTGGCTAACGGAGGGAGTGAAGTGTCACGATCTGAAAGTGACATTACTCGGTTCCCAGACCCATATCCCTATTACAGCTTTTGCTGCTGCCGGAAATAAAAGTACGAGTGTAAACAGAGCGCT